GTGCAGAACCATCGTCTGCTGGAGAGTATGTATTTTTCACCTACGAATTTTTCCCATTACAGTCTATATCCCCTCTTTCAGTATTGACGATGAGTCTAAGTGGCTTTCTACTGAGAGATTTCTACCATAAATTCAGTTAAAAGATGATTTATTAAAAGAACAACCAAGTATCATGTCTCGTATATTGAATGAAACAGCCTGTTTTCTGAAATCAGTCTTTTGACCTGTTGTATCGTATCATACTGAAAGACAGTGTACTGATAATTGCTAAACACACTATTAACTATCAAAAAAGTGTGAAAGAACATTATAGTCTACCTTAGTTTCGCAACATTCACATTTCTCCTATTATTCTTTATCTTAGCATTGTTTCGGCAATTTAATTATCCTTTACCTTCATTCATTGCCCGACAATAAAGCATTTGCGTTTGGTGAAAAACAAAAACTATAAACTTCGGGCTATCATATGTCGCAAATGTTCCGTTTGGGAAACCGTTATAGAAAAATTTATACAGTTTCTTCAAAGGCTAGTAATTTTACTCTAGTTTTGTTCAGTGGGAACTTGTAATTTGTTCAATAACAAAAAATTAAGACTTAGGCATTGTAGTAGAATTCAGTTTCATTTTATTTAATTTATTAGATGTATCAGACAGTGAAATAGTATTTTTCATTGGATTAGGGTTCGGGTACAAATTATCGTCCATAATCATATCATCTCGTAATGACTACGTGCGATGCATCTTCTGAAGCAACTAAAATGTCATTTGACAGTAATGATAGATACTGACTGGAGTTGAGGATACGCGTTTCGTCCTATTTAGGACTCGTCAGTTGTGTGTACCTGCCTACTATTGAGCGGTTTTGTTCCTACTAAGGCTCGAACCCAGGACCGACAGCTTTACAGTGCGAAGCGTTATTCATTGTGCTACTAAGCCACAATGGTCACTTCTTATTTGACGCGTATAGTTTTTATTTTACCTCTTGTATTACCTCGTCAATGATTCAAGGATGCACCATTAGTACTGAATTGAAATGACAGGAAATATCGCCTAATTAACCAGTTCACGAGTTACTAGCCGGTCCTAAACCCGGATAAAGAGGAAAGGTTGGGCATAGGGCTAGCAACCCTACCCCGGAAAACCAATACAATCGCTTAACAAACTTCAAAGCACAGACAAAATATAAAAAAATAAAAATTATCTTATTCCTCTCTGGAATCGGAGAGACAATGAGGCCAGTTGAAGATAGCCTTCAGGAAGCCGATTAGCCGATGTCTTCTCTCGATGAAAGCGGAAGTAAACGTGGGGACATGGAATGTCCGTACAATGTAAGGAAACCTGTATAACCGTGCTAGGAAAGAAGAAGAAAGAAGACAAGGAATGGATCTCGACGGAAACATGGAAACTGATAGAGCATGGAGAGGAGGATGGTGAAGGAGAAGGTAAACCAGTATAGTGCATGGATGAATAACAACAAGAGGAACTGAGTACAATGTATAAAACACTGGACAAGTAAGTGAAGAAGAGTGTGCACAAAGACAAAAGACACTTCCCGGACACACTGGCAAGTGAAGCAGAACAGGCTGCTGGTAGGACAGAACTGACAACATTGTATCAAATAACCAGGTTACTATCTGGGAGGGACGAGATCATTTCAGACGAGGCCAATAAAAGATAGAGAAGGAAACTTAGTAAGCAAAGAAGAGAAACAAAGGAAACGATGGGCTGACCACTTCAAAAAGCTCTTGAATCGACCACCACCTGCACTTCGTCCAGCAATACCACCTCCAGCCACAGAACTACAAGTGAACATAAATCCTTCAAGAAAAGTGGAAGTCCTGAACGCCATAAAGCTACTGAAATGCGGGAAAGCAGCAAAAGCAAATGGAATCCCACCAGAAGCACTGAGAGCAGACGCAGAGACAACAGCGGACATGCTCACACCACTATTGTAGAAGGTCTGGAGGGAAGGAAGGAAGGAAGGAAGGATACCTGCCAATTGATGGGAAGAAGGACTACCTGGTCAAACTTCCAAAGAAGGGAGACCCAAATATTTGTAGGAACTGGTGCGGAATCATGCTCCTGTCCATCCTAAGAAAAACATTAGGCCGCATCATCCTGGAGAGACTGAAATATACTCTCGATTCAAAATTATGACCGGAACAGGCTGGCTTCGGGAAGAACAAATCATGTGCGCATCAAATTGCAACTCTACGCTTCGCATCACAATAGAACAAACAGAACATGGGATGGCAGCCAACTCAACCTCAACTTCATCGACTTTGTAAAGGCCTTCGACAGCGTCGACCGAGAAGTAATTTGACAACTGTTTCAACACTGAGGTTTTGGTGCCACAAACCCTTATCTACCTCATTCAACAGCTTTATGACGACGCCACATGGAAAGCGATTCATAATGGAAAGCTCAGTGATACCTTTGGATTGGAGACAGGGGACAGGAGTAAGACAAGGCTGCTTTACTATCACACATAACCTTCCCGTTTGTGGTCGACTGGATCATGCAGCAAACAGCGAGGAGCAAGAAGAGGGACCTACGCTGTTTGACCGATGGAAAGACCTCAGGAGAAGATTTGGATTTCACCGACGACGATGATTTGTGTCTAATGTCCTGTCGCACAAACTCGAAGATCTGCAGGCAAGAACCAACAAGTTGACAGAAGAGGTGAGGCAGGGCAGCGAAGACGAGACTTCAGGTGAACGTAGAGAAGACAGAGGTGATGATGATACCCAACCAACGCCACCACCAACAACAACAAGCTCCAACCACCGTCAACGCGAGGAACTTAGAGGAAGTAGCCTCTTTCAAATACCGTCTAGGCAGCATTGTTTTAAATACAGGCGGTACAGGCACAGACGAGGACGGCAAAACCAGGATCGGAAAAGCAAGACAGGACTTCCTGCATTAATCTGAAACCAGTGTGGACATCCACTGCACTCAACTCAGCATGAAGCCTGAACAAGATCAGGATTTTCAACGCTAATTCAGTCAAGTCAGTCAGTCAGTCAGTCAGTGCTTCTATGTGATGGTTGAGAGACTTGGCGCATTACGAAAAGCATTTCCAACAAACTACAGACATTCATCAACATCTGCCGCCTACGCTCACTCGATATTGACATCGAAGATCAGATCAGATCAGATCAGATGGCCAGAATAATAAGAATGAGTAACAAGGACCTCTGGCCGGGAAACGAACCAACCAATAATCCATAGCCCAACAAATATGCACTGGAAGGAAGTGGAGATGGATTGGACATACACTGAGAAGACCATTCGGAGACATCACGTTATCACGTTCCAGACCAAGGCGTTGAGTGGAATCCGAATGGGAAACGACGAGTTGGGTGTCTGAGGCGAGGGTGGTATGGAGGAGATGGTGTGAGGAAGAAATGAGAGCTTCTGGGTAGTCGTGGAGCGAGGTTCAAAAGACTGGAGAGAACAGAGTGGAATGGAGGCGTGCTACTGAAGCTGTATGTTCCACTAGGAACCCAGGGGACGCATATTGATCATAATACGCAGGTGCTTATCTGCAAAGAGAAGTCAATCAAGTAGGTCCAATCAGCTATTTTATAACACACTTTGCAGCCCTAAATGTAAGCTGCTTACAATATGGTGATTCTTGCCATGCGTTACTGATGACACACACACATCTTACATCACTCTTGGGTAAAGCTCAGCACAACTTTTTTATTAACTTTGAATTCAACTAGATCAAGCAAATCATTCAGTGTCAAAATTGCTGAGACATACCACCGAAGTGAACTAGAGATGCCGACTGGTTACTCATGTGTTTCCCTACTGCTTTTTTTTTCTCCCTATGCAAAGCTTGTTGCCTAAACAAGGTTGACCGTTTCTTTCCCTGATGATAAATATGTTTTGCCTAGTCTTATTTTGACTAAGTTGGCGATTCAGGTGACAAAGATTTTATCAGAAGATACTTCAGCTTGTACTTCTTTCAACAGCTGGATTTACACTACACTTTAATATGATTTTTATAATTTAGTTTGTGCCTCTTGATAAGAATGAGACTCATGTAATTTTGCTATCAGTACTATGTATATCTATTGGTAACGCTTGGTTTTTGCATCACTGTACTATACGATGCTGCGGAATGTTTATTGTTCGAATTTAAACTGATTTTGTACTAAATAATCAGTTCAGTGGCCTTGTGGGCTTTCATTTCCATAGTTATTTGAGAATTGTTCTTCGTTGGATAACCCCACTGATTCCGTTTCCTCTCCTTTATTTTGTTTCGAATGGAGGTCTGGTTCGAATATTTTTCAGTCAGAAAGGAATATTTTCCTGAAAAAGCTGTGGCCGATTTAAAGGTTTCACTGAAATATTAGATATGGATAATATTAGGTTGTAAAAACTTGTAGACGGGCTTTCTGTAAATCCCACTCCTTAGGAAAATTTACTCATTCACTACCTGAATAGATCAGTGGTAACTTAACTGACTACACCACCGGGTGGCAACGGTCCCAGTCTGATAGGGGACATCTTTTTTTTGAAGTTGCAGAGATGTCTCACTGATGAGTGCGAACAAGCACGAAACCTGGGTTCATGGCTGCCTGCTGGTTGCTTCGAACCAATGTGAACCGCGATGTTGAGTCTTCTAGCTTGGTGGCCACATTTCAAAATGATCGACAGAATTCACTTAGCACTCAGGACTAGACAACCTGAAACTGATTACTCTCCAGTGATCAATATGTGTAACTTCTCTACGAATCCTTGAAACTTCTGAATTTAAACCTTCCTTAGGAAATGTACAAAAGGAACATTTAAATTCGTCACACACCCGTTTGATGTCTACACGCTTTTTGATATTTGACCTACTAACCTTCCATTTTTGATGATATTTCATTCACAGGAAAGTGTCGTCGCCTCCACAACCGTCTCATTTATCTTCTTTGAATCACGTTGCATTAATTAAAAACAACTCAGGCAATCAGTTATTCTTTCTAATTATTTTCTAGTAGTTGTGTTTACAATAAGTAGAGTTAAACAGGAAAAAACGTTTACAGTTAAAAAAAAATTATTAGTATTTGCATATATTCACTTTTTGCTAGCACCCCTTAGACTTCCTCAAGAAACAATAGCTTCTTTACAAGATTTCGTGCCTCACGTCCAAGACAAGAGCTACAATATAGGTTTTCAAATAAAACGGAGGTTAGAATGTAATGACTGCATTTTACACATAACTAAAAAATCTCTGCTATTATTAAGGATATGCATCTCATCACAACTGAAGTAAATTTCCTCATTAATCTTCAACCCGTATCTTGCCAAAAATTCCTGTAAAGTGCTTTTTATCTATCATCCCACCATCACTGCTTGAATGCTGCGTCTATTTACAATTGATCTATAAAGATGTTTTGTCCACCGTCCGAGTGTTTTCACACAGACTTTTATTCAATACAAATTGATTTATTCATTTCTTGCCTACATTTTTTATGAAAAAGCATCATCATATCTAGAGAAAACTGGCTTCCGCTGTTTTTCTCACCAGCGAATGCTGACTTCTTAGTTTGCAATTACTGTCTATTGGGAATATAATAAATAAATATTTATTGGTCTGTTGCAAGGCTATTTCAGTCTATGTTCCCCTAATTATTTCTTAAATAATAACTAGTGACTTTTAATCTAGATAACATGTGTCTGTCAAACTATAGTTTTCATAGTTTTTCGTTATAGCTTATCAGTATTCCTCCCAAACTGGTATAAATTTAAATAGCCCTCAAATAAAAAATCATGTATTCTTGCTTGACTGGAATATCTATGGTCGGTCAGTAATTCGTTTTCTTCGCCTAAGTTGCCAGTGCAATTATAGTCAAAATGAGGGTTCACAACACCCGTTTATTAGTGATCAAACGTTTCACTGGCTAATTTCTTAACTAACATGTATGATGAATTATAAATGAACAACTATAGCAGCAACCTAGAAAACTTAGTGATATAATTATTTTTATTCAACTGCAGCTTCAAAATTAAATTTATGAATATGGCTACATGGAATTTCTGTTAGAGAACTGTTTTGTAGAGTCCTTTATAAACTTAATTGCCTACTTTCATGTTTACTCTAATGTAATTATTTATTTACAACCATGAACCGTGTTTTATTTTACCTCGGAATCTTCCAATACTCAGTATTTTACCAGGCAGCTAAGACTAGGTAGATTACAAGTTGTTTGTCTCTTACTTACGTCCATTGAGTACACTTACAAATTTGTATGTGTTCAATGGTATTTACGTAGTGTCATCACTGAGGACTCAACGTTTCCTGCAAGTAAAATATAGTTCTTATTATTATGATAAGTCAAAGCATCTTCAGAAAACTTTCGAGCCTAACAACGTCAATACACTTTTACTTCAAGGTTTCCCACCGATTTCTTGCAGTGTCGAACAGCTTCAGTATGCAATTCTTAAAACCAGTTGCCTACTTTTATCGACGTGTTAGAGGTTTGTCAGCGCAGAATGAAAGGGATTAATCACTTCACACCTTTTTATTACTGTAATTACTAATACTGGGTGATGATTGAAGCTCAATGAGAATTTGAGCTGCGATAGAATTCTAACCAATCGAGCACCAAGTTTCCGGCTCGGTGCTCTATCAACTGAGCTACGAGACGCGACTGCTGACCAGATTTTTATTTCACTTCAATCACCGAGGGTTTTGACAGACTGATACGTGAATTCGTGATACATTATTGCTTGATTGTATTCACACTGACAGCCAGATGATAATTTCTACCAGATTCCTATAGACTGTAAGCAGCTGACGACACTCTGAAATAAAGTAGATACCTGTTATTCCACTGGGATTATTTTCTCACATCACCCCATTTCCCCCAAAATACAAGGGATGCTGAAAACGCAACGGGAAAGCTTTCAGTCTGACTTACATGGGACTAAAATACCAGTATGATTCTGTGAATCACTCACAGTGCAGTTACAGTCTAAGTAAATTTTAAAAAGAACAAAATAAAACATAATTATATCATCTGAATGTAATATGGATAAATGAAAAAACAAAGAAATCACGAACTAGACATTATGAAAGTAAACAGTTCTACATGGACTGTAAGTAGGCAACTTAGCTTACAATATTACTGATATACACTCTTGAAAAAACTATAATTTTACTGTCTAAAACTTTCCAAGGGAATGAAAATGTGCATTTGAAGAGTTATTCACTTGAACAACGCTATGTAAGAGTAAACATTTAGGCATTGTGTAGAGTGTATTTCCACATTGAATATTACCACGAGCAATAAGTTGCGGTCGAAACGTCGAGCGATTCTAAAGGTCAGTAAGCCTAGCAGTCAATGAGATAACCAATCAAGTTTGCCCATTTCAGTCACAAAGGTGACTTTTCAAGAAATAAAGAAATCGGATTGACCATTTAAAGTCATTTTGGAATGTCATCCAGCAAATAATATTGTGTCACTGTGGTGTGTAAAATTAGTTTATTCGATATGTAGAAGAAACTATACATCATTTGCACTAGCATTGATTGCATGAAGAATATTCATTCGCAGAAATGAAATATACAGTAGACTGCCCAAATCATTTAAAACACTAGACCATTATCATTAAGCTGCTAAATAAGCAGGACCACCGTTTCGCTATGGGTATCTTAGAAATGTCGCAGTAGCGACAAATGACGCCATCTAATTGCAATCGGTCTTCATCAGCTGAACACCACCCTAATAAATGGATGATAACTATAAAACGTTTATTGTTGTTGAATACTTGTAATTCCCCATTGCTATAGTGGGTCGAATTACTCAACCTCCGTTGGGAGATGGGCTCCCACAAGGATGCCTCTATATTGCCAGATTTTCATAATGCCATATTCACGTTAGTGATTAGCAGTGTAATCCAGGACGCGTATTTTGTCCTATTCGGGAATCGTCAGCTGGATGTGTCTGCATCTCAGTGAGTGGTGTTGTCCCTACTGATAATCGAACCCAATACCCATAGCTTCAAACACCAAAGCGTTACCTACTAGACCACTGGGGTAAAACGTTTGTTTTACTTTACATGAATGATTTGAATATTGCAGCTCATGCTTCGAAGAATAAATAAAAGTACTGAAATTTTATGCCACAAATGATATAAAAATAATGAAATGTTATCGAACTATTTCTATCATTTGTCCCTTTTTCATTTGTTAAGGGGCTTTCACACAAGATCAGGTAACTAGATATGTAAAAATTCGGCACTGTGGGAAGGTATAATTCTATATTAGATTACTTATTTGATATCAAACACGGCGATACATTATCGTTTACTGGATAGACATTTAGGAATGATTCTTTTTTTATGTCCTAAATGTTAAAAATACTATAGTCTGTGTAGCATGTTTCAGTCTTTGAAAGTTGTGTAGGTGTATTAACTAATTCTTGAACAGGAAGACATTATATTTCATGAGTGTAAGATAATGGTCAGCTACCTGCCGATCGCCTCCAAACAACACACACCTAGTCACTATGCTGAAGTATAATTCCACATCAAATAAACAATCTGATATGGAATTAACTGGATATTCTTATGTCGAATCTCTGTTTACTCATAAAAAAGAATTCCACCACCTATATTTTATAAGATGGCCTCGGTTTGGTGGCATTTATTAATCTTCCTTTATTTATGCTGTATAATTGTGATTCTGTTTTTTTTTATATGCAGAATATGAACTAACATCTCTAAATCTTTCAAGTGGGGTATGTTAAACTTCTTTGGAGTTATTATTCATTTATTCATGAAAATGGTCTCAACAAAGTGACCCTGTTTTATTCACACTGAGTTTTCCGAATTCCATTATGGTTAACAAATACCGAACACAGTCAAACAGAATGTGACGATTTCTTAAATTCTATGTAAAAAAATAAACACCAAGTTTGTTCAACGAAGTGTGTTGAAACAAAAACAAATGGTAAAATGGTTGAATCATTTGTAACTATCTCAGATTATCAGACGTTAATAAGTGACGGTAGGAAAGACAGTTGACAGAAAGGAACACGAAACAAATAACGTGACCCTTATCTGTTAAATATGCCAGCCAGTAAAAATTAGGAATTATAGTCACAGTTCTCTTCAACAATATGGGTTTTGCATACTTTGACTGTGGGCTATAATTCCCAATATTATTACTAGTATATTCTGAAAAGGGGCCATGCGAGAATATGCTCTAGTGTTCTTCTGTCAGTGTCACTTAGATTGTAACATGCCACTTGATTGTTATCTGACAAGGTTTTCGGCTTAGTTTGTGTCATTCTGAAAGGCTCATCAAATGAACATTAGTACGAACACCAGTAATTCAGATAGTAATACTCGCTAACACCTCACACCTAATTTTTACAGACTTAAATTCATCAGCAACCTCGCCTGGTTAACTAGTTCACGGGTTACTAAAAAACAATAAAGCACAGACAAAATATAAAAAAATAAAAATTATCTTATTCCTCTCTGGAATCGGAGAGACAAAATGAGGCCAGTTGAAGATAGCCTTCAGGAAGCCGATTAGCCGATGTCTTCTCTCGATGAAAGCGGAAGTAAACGTGGGGACATGGAATGTCCGTACAATGTAAGGAAACCTGTATAACCGTGCTAGGAAAGAAGAAGAAAGAAGACAAGGAATGGATCTCGACGGAAACATGGAAACTGATAGAGCATGGAGAGGAGGATGGTGAAGGAGAAGGTAAACCAGTATAGTGCATGGATGAATAACAACAAGAGGAACTGAGTACAATGTATAAAACACTGGACAAGTAAGTGAAGAAGAGTGTGCACAAAGACAAAAGACACTTCCCGGACACACTGGCAAGTGAAGCAGAACAGGCTGCTGGTAGGACAGAACTGACAACATTGTATCAAATAACCAGGTTACTATCTGGGAGGGACGAGATCATTTCAGACGAGGCCAATAAAAGATAGAGAAGGAAACTTAGTAAGCAAAGAAGAGAAACAAAGGAAACGATGGGCTGACCACTTCAAAAAGCTCTTGAATCGACCACCACCTGCACTTCGTCCAGCAATACCACCTCCAGCCACAGAACTACAAGTGAACATAAATCCTTCAAGAAAAGTGGAAGTCCTGAACGCCATAAAGCTACTGAAATGCGGGAAAGCAGCAAAAGCAAATGGAATCCCACCAGAAGCACTGAGAGCAGACGCAGAGACAACAGCGGACATGCTCACACCACTATTGTAGAAGGTCTGGAGGGAAGGAAGGAAGGAAGGAAGGATACCTGCCAATTGATGGGAAGAGGGGCTACCTGGTCAAACTTCCAAAGAAGGGAGACCCAAATATTTGTAGGAACTGGTGCGGAATCATGCTCCTGTCCATCCTAAGAAAAACATTAGGCCGCATCATCCTGGAGAGACTGAAATATACTCTCGATTCAAAATTATGACCGGAACAGGCTGGCTTCGGGAAGAACAAATCATGTGCGCATCAAATTGCAACTCTACGCTTCGCATCACAATAGAACAAACAGAACATGGGATGGTAGCCAACTCAACCTCAACTTCATCGACTTTGTAAAGGCCTTCGACAGCGTCGACCGAGAAGTCGTTTTGAAACTTCTTCAATACTACAGAATACTGCGGACCTTTATCAGCCTCATTCAATAACTATATGAAGACGCCATATGTAAGTAATTCACAATGGAAAGCTCAGTGTTGCTTTAGAAGTGAAGACAGGAGTGAAACAAGCTTGCCTACTATCCCCCATGATATTGCTTAATGTGGTGGAGTGGATCATGCAGCAAACAATGAGGAGCGAGAAGAGGGGGTACGCTGGACTGCGGAAAAGAACCTAGAAGACTTGGATTTCGCCGACGATGATGACTTATGTCTAATGTCACACAAACTTGAAGATCTTTAGGCGGAAACCAACAAGTTGACAGAAGAGGTGAGGCAGGGCAGCGAAGACGGGACTTCAAGTGAACGTAGAGAAGACAGAGGTGATGAGGATACCCAACCAACAACAACAACAAGCTCCAGTCACCATTAATGGGAGAAACCTAAAGGAAGTAGCCTCCTTCGCCTATCTAGGCGGCACTGTTTCAACTACCGGTGGCGGCACAGATGGGGATGTCAAAGTGAGCATCGGAGAAGCAAGACAGGACTTCCTGCATTAATCTGAAACCAGTATGGAGATCTTCTGCACTCAGCATGTGGAACAAGATGTGGATTTTCAACGCCAACGTCAAGTCAGTGCTTCTATGTGATGGCTCAGAGACTTGATGCGTTACGAAAGGCATTCCCAGCAGACTACAGACATTCATCAACAACTGCTTATGCTCGCTACTGAAGATCAGATAGCCAGAAAGAATAAGCAACAAGGAACTCTGGCCGGGAAACGAACCAACCAAGAAGCTATCACTCAACAAATATGCACTGGAAGGAAGTGGAGATGGATTGGGCATACACTGAGGGGACCATTCGAGGACATCACGCATCAGGCCAAGCCCTCGAGTGGAACCCCCATGGGAAGCGACGAGTTGGGCGTCCAAGGTGAGGGTGACATGGAGGAGATAGTGCGAGGAGGAAATGAGAGCTTCTGGGCTGTCGTGGAGCCAGGTTCAAAAGATTTTAGAGAACGGAGTGGAATAGAGACGTTACTGAAGCCCTATGTTCCATTAGGAACCCAAGGGACAAATAATAATAAATAATAAATTCATCAGCAAGAGTTTGCCTGATAACTGACCAATGCATGTATACGTGGCACTAAGCATAACTGCCTTTGTCTTTTACTACATTTCTTTAGGAGAGCGACATTAGTACAAACACCTAATACAGTTTGAATCTTCAGTGAGGACTGTTACGACTCATATGATAGCCTTGTTTTCAGATAATTTTTTACTAACTTGATGGGAGTCACAGGCCAAGCAAGCCAAGATAAATTACTCGCATTTCCTCACATTTCAAGTCTTTGGTATTCATTGAAGTGATTTTGATACCTAAAATCAAGCTCTAAAAGGATGATTTAACGTAAATATGACCGGAGAGTACGTTCAAAGATCATTTTGCTCTCGTTACCGACATGATTTGATACCGAATTTCCACCTTTTCTATAGTGATATTTGCCAGTAGTCATCTATAAGCTGTGGCGAAATGTCCAACTTTTTATAGTTAATGTATTCAATATTTTGTACGTTGGTTTCTCGGTTCGTTATTTTCATGAGTAACTTAAAATCTGTGATCAAGTTTAGGTAATCCATGACTACAATTTAATTGATATATGATATCATTTTAAAACGTGTATATTGGCATGGGGTTGAAAATAAGGAGCTACCTGTAAGAAATATTTCTTTGTCAAATCCGTCTTTTTCATGAAACTTCCAAATGCTCAGCAGGTGAGTAAACGGAATTCTATTGCAATTTTCTATCAGAAATCTAGCTTATCGTGATGAGTGTGAAAAGAATACAGTTTATGCAGAGAATACTGAAGCAGGTGATGAATGCATTTCAGCTATTCGCCCAGTAAATTTTTCAGTGAGTGAGTTAGGTCAACGGTATGTGTTCTACATAAACTGTGACTTGGTGGTTTAGGGAGATGACTTCCAACCTTTTGATCATGGGTTCGAACCTCCCTCTATCTACTTAGGTTTGCGCAGCCAGGTAGTATCACTAGCTCTCACAAAATAGGTGTGGCTCATTGCCTACTGCACGGGTGTGCACAAGGTAGCTGAGTGTATTTCGATTTTTCGTCTTGCAACAGACAATGCATTCAACTGAGGATTTCGTGATGGAGGTTAACAAACTTCAAATTTAATGTATTACACTCATAGGGATAGATCTTTTGTGCCTAATAATTAGCTTCTTCGACTATTATCGACCAAATAATTGAATCCTAATGAAAACCTTAGTTTATTTTAAAATAATGATGTTCAAAACACTTAGCTGCTTGTCACTGTACGTTCATAGTTTGGCAATTGTATATGTGCTTGGCTCATTTATACCATTATTAGATAATATGTTGAGTGGGCTCGGAATTTTTAGACATTAGATCAAATGATCCATTCAAGAGTAGATCATATTTATCAACTGGAATGAAACTTGAAGAGGTTCAAATGTTCACCAGAAGTTAACAATTTTAATCTTTCAAGATTAAACCTTGTAAACGATGGCTGCCATGGTATCGGGTATGCGTTACTAACATTGGGATTTTAATCCATCTGTTCTCGACTGATATTACATTAGATTTCTTTCTAAAACCAGCAGTAGAACCTTTCTGTTTTATTCATCAACCATGGAAAGCTATAAAGGAGATTTAGTCTGTAAAACTGTCTGAAAGTTCATCTTTTACTGGATGTCTAGAACTCAATGAACGATAAGAGAGATTTCCATATTAATATGAAGCCCAACATCCTATGGAAAATGTCATACTTTTCATAATTCTTTTCAATGCGTAATGCGTGGAATGGTGGATAATAGAAAACTCACTTTGAGCGGGTGCCTTTGAAGTTCGAATTAGAACACGCTCCGAAAATCTTGTTCTTTCACAATTTTTAAAGAATGCCTTCACTTTGTAGACGTAATCATGGTCTTCATCAACATCATCAATGACGTTATTCAGATGTCCGTCGACTCGAAATTTCACCACGGATAATATAGAAAATTCTGGTTTTAACCGTCTTTGAATACGATTAATCACGTAGTATGATAAGCACTGAGAGTACTTCTCATCCATTTCTTTCCAGCTAACTAGATGAACAAGACTATCTCCTAGAGTTTTAACGTCAACGCCCTCCACCTTTACTGAATCTTAAAGGAAAAGATTGATAGAATTAGCATTTGTTTATTTATGTATATCAGTGTCAAATATTTCTTAAAATTAGTTCCCAGGATACCTATCAAAGTTAACAAGTAATACCAATTCCAACTGATAAAACCCAATGAAAATCAGTCACATGTAATTCCATCCCTTAATAAATATGAATCACCAGACAGCAACAAGTTTAGTAGTATTACATGCTGGACTTTATTTTGAGGCATACAGTAAGAATTTTACAAAGAAAAAGGACTACACTAAATGATCATGAATAGAAGGGTGAATAACAAAACTGTGTTACCTCTAATTTCGACCATTAGGCAGAAGCTTAGAATTCAGACATCGTAGGTTAACTAGTTTAGTTAGTTAGATTATCAGTTTAAAGGTTATAAATGGCTAGATTTTCAAATGCCTTTTAGCACACTTGACAGTCTGCGTACATAGTATGGAATGCAATATAAAACATGACTGAAGTTAATGAAAGTCTGGCTATAGTTCCAAATCAGGAAATCAACTATATGATTAAAGTTCATGACTTTTACTTCTGAGTATGGAAGCAAAACTTGAGCACTGTGATAGAATTTTATTTCTGAGTTCTGATTAAAACTATTGCTTAAATTTGTAATTTCCTTAGCAATGAAGCCCTATTGATGAGACTGTAATATTTTTTTCGAAGGTTGTTTCTCATACCAGTCACTCAGACATGATACATGTTAACCATATGCAAAAATAAATTCTCACTTACGAGATCATTGTTTGCAAGCAAAAGTTTGAAAATATTTACCTCTATCTGTTGGACATATGATTTCTCCTTCATTAGGATTTGGGAGTCGAGTATTTTGTAGCTGCTCAAGAAAGATGTTTGTTTGATTACCTGTCAAATTAATTAGAAAATATTCGTCAAAATTCTTAAATACTTCTCGGCTACTTTCCCATTTGTTGATATCTCACTAAGTCAATCACCCCCCAGTACAAACAAAATCTAAGGAAGATACCTGCGGCACAATTTTGGGATGTGAATCGTATTCTTTAGAAAATGACTATTTTCAGCTGTCAAACATTAGTTAAACTGGCTAACTTTGTTTCGATTTAAATGTCTATTTAAAGTATACATTTGAAATTTGATAAGGAAATAAGACTGTTTGAGCTTCAGTGTTTCTGAATACTCTTCGTTCCATTCAAGAAATTATTTCGTAGCATAATTTAATGAACTACATACTATCGAACTTGATTTAGTAATATAGTCAGCTGTTCATCCTTAACGCTTAACTAGCTGGTCTTAAAAGTTGAGTCTTTTAGGTGAGATTATGATTGAATTCCTTCGCAGATTTACGCTTCATTAGTGTACATATTTTTTTGTTTTTGTCTATGTTTGCAACGACTTTTTTAAAAAAAACTGCAGAAATTTACAGAAAAGTCTCGTGAAGTGACTTAATTATATGGTTTCCCAGTGTTTTGCCCAATGCCTAATAAATAAATCTAAATCTCAGTACAACACCAAAAAAGACTGGTGTTATGCAGACGTAAATGAAAGTAAATGTGACCCTTTTAAATAATCGACACGTCGTAAATTCAATGTTTGTTTTCTGTTACCTCATGTTTTTCAATGCATACATGTCAAATACTATTTCCCATTTAACACTATACTTTATGCAATTATCTTTTGAATACAAAGCACTTTGTTATACTCTGTTTCAGTCTAAAAAATGGAAATCCCTGAACCTCTTCGAGGATATTTCGAGAGACAAATTAGGGAGATGGTAAGTACAGTCGTAGTTGCGGCTGTAATATCATTAAGCATTTCATTCTCAGTCAAACTACGCATTGTATATGTCCTTATTTAAGTCTTACTGAGCTAGATTTTTTAGAGCGGCTTTAAAAAAGCCCTAGCAACGTCTGTAATGGCCAATCAGCCTTCGGTTTTTTGCCTAGGAAAGTACTTTTCCATAAAATAACGGGATGTAATTGGCTATCTCATCACTTGCTAGAGAGGGGCCTTTAAAGTCACCTGATTTTTTATCCTGAAGACAGATACATCTTTGTCTACCCACAGATCTTATAGCACTACCCTTTGTGGAAATAGTGTATATTAAGTCGGAGACGGATTGATAACTGCAGTGTTTATTTATCATTCGATATAAGATAAGTATTGGTATTCATCACAAATTTCTCTGTTTTCTGTGTCGGTATATTTTTTGTTTTCCGCACATGTTCGGAAAGTGGAGGCACTTTATGACTGGGGATTTTAAAGGATTGATACAATTTATTTGAACTGGGTAATAATTCATTGTAAACAGATGATACGACTGTGGTAGATAAAATCATTTATAAGATATAGCCCTCTGAATATCTTTATGAAAATGTGTGACGAACATTTTTGTGTAGGATATGCTTTTTCATTTTGAAATACATTCATCTGACTATCGACCGGGAAAATAACCCCGAATATACAGCGATTACTCAGATTTGTCTCATGCCTCACAGTGAAATAAGATCACAGATGATGTAGGTGATTTTCAAAGAGGCGAAACATTGAAAAAGTCAGACCACACCTCAATCACGTACCTATATCAGAGATATGTTTAAGGTCGATGCCAGTATATGAAAAGCATAAATTTCAAATACTGCAAGAAAAATTGACACTTGCACATTGGATGGGTGTACTGTTAGATTAACCAATCATTAGTAGGATTTTCAAGGAAATCTCAACCTTTCTTTGGATATTATGTGTATCACTATGTTGAGGAGTTATTTGACTTACTTCAGTAGCTGGAAAATGACTGCTGGCAGTAAGAAAATAGAAACTTCATGAATAAAAATATGAAAATGTTAGGCTAACTAATTCTTTTAATATTATCCGTGGAATATCTAAATAGATTATGGAAACGATGAACTCGATTGGCTCCAAATAAAATTCAAAATGATAAATTAGCAAGTATTAAACGATTGTTTGGTTACATTATAAACGACAGTATCTTGTGTTCTACTTACCAACTTCATATGATAGAGAACTGGTAGTAGTATAGCCATCCCTGTCAAAGCATTCAAGAAGGTAGGATCCGTTTGGTTTCAAGTCTCTAAGCGTAGAAAAGCTGTTCATCTTTTTATGCGTACAATTCCCTTTATCATCTCCATATTTAGAAATAGGGGATACTGAGCAGTCACTTCCAGCTTTTGATATAAAATCGCAATACAAACGCACTTCACCACTAATTTTATCTGATTCAGTTCGTGGTTTCAAACTGTCCATTAAGTCACCTTCTATATTAAAATATTCATAAGAACACAAAAATGAGGAAATCAACAAAATATAAATATATGCTTACTGTAACTGAATGAAAACGTTTCAGGGCAGCATACTTGAATTGTGATATGTTACTCGTTATCAATAACAGAGAAGTAACATTGCAGGAAGCTTGAGAAGTCTTGGAAATAAATCGATTCTAAAGTCTTATTTTAACTTTGCCATATCTTCACGTAGGATTGTAATTACTCGCAGTATGCATTACCGACAAACATTCTACTCACTATTTGGCTTTGTTGAAAACAGCTGGTAAATCACTTTATATCTCCACCTTAACCATCATGTTAATGACAATCAAGGTTAGTTTTCACAAAATCCTTTGTATTATAACGATTTTTTCGTAACTCGTATACTCACATGCGTGAATTCGCCAAAGAGCAGTGTACGATGTATTGTTCATGCATGGCTTGCACATAGCGCTAGAAAACCAAGTGACATATTTATGACAGTGTCTACCACTCCCAAATTAATACAACGACAATTACAAACATGATATGAAGTTCATAAATGGGAACGTAGAATGATATTACAAAGCAATTGTTCTGTAGAGATCCCTTCAAAGTGTTTGAATTCCTTATTTTTAAAAATTATTCTTCAAATGTATTCTTTTCATTATGCACTCATAGTAACAAATTAGCGAAAAACATATCCCGAAATTAATGAAACAGTGTATGGAGTGTTAGTTGTGAATACGTGTTTTGATTATTTACTAGCACTGAATTAACTTGAAAAGAAATATTGAAGCTGAGAAATCAGTCTACGTTTTTGTCAGCATACACTTTGGTTATCATAGGAGATAACTGATTTTTAATTACAAATTTGGGTAAATTAGCCTTAACTTCAAATTTGCGTGAATCTCAACTCATCAACGATATTTAATAATTCATCTCAGTTTATTATTTCTGTTTAAATACATAATGATTTTGATAGACACTTGTTATTTTCAGAGGAATCGGTGAACAGTGTGGTGGAAATAGGAGTTCGGGAGAACTAAATATAACTGTACTAGTAGATACAATGATCATAAGAGTTATATTTTGTCCCAAAAAGTAAGAATTTTCTTCTAAAATTTAAATGTTTTAAATTTTGGTCTTGGTGCTGAAGCGGAAAAAGCAAATATTGTAATAATGTCTTCACGAAATACTTGTTTCACAGATTACTTAAGTACTTGAGCTCACAGTCTGATATGTGGTGACCTGCTTAAGCCCATAGACAACCAAACATTTTTCCCGCAGAATATATTTCATCAAAGTCTTCCATTTCAGTTTGTTTTAATCTTTTAAATATATCTTCGAAATGTGTTATGCACCCTCGCAATTTTTTAAAATATTTTCAAACTGTCATTTCTCAAGCTAAGAACGAAAAAAACAACGTTAAGCTGGATGGGAATGAACATATAAATACTCAAAACTAAAACACAGTACTATTCCGAGGATACTTATATCGATTGGCAGATGTTTGAACTGGCTGATTAAACTACCAACACTCGATTTTGTATTCATCACCAAGTCCAGATTAGAGGCTAATGTAACATCACCTACTCATTTCACATTAGTGCCTTTAATAGATTATTCAGATGAAAGATTATTTCTTGTAAAAATATTGTATGGAGAGCGTATTATTTGAAATACTACCTGCTGAAAATCCCATAAAGTACCACACATTTTTTGGAATAAAGTCATTATTATTATTATACTAAAAACCAGAGTTTATTGTCTTAAGACTGCTTATAGGTGAACGAATCTCACCTGAATTTGGATAAGACTAAAATTCACAACACCAACAACCTAAAAATAGGTAGTTTTGAGCAGTACAATGGGTAAACTTTGACTTAAGTGGACTAGGGTGAAATAGTAGTTTCATAAGCTATTGAAATTAGCAACAGAATTTCTTGACATGATGGTGAACTATGATAGCGGTACAGGATCTACAAGAAACTGATCCACGTTTTTCATGAAGGTCTATTACAAGTAATATCTCATTTTTTTATAGTATTATTCCAGCAGAATACAAATGGTTGATGAATAAATCATTTTACATGCTTATATATATATATATATATATATATATATATATATATATATATATATATATAAACCTGTTCATGTAGTTTTATAAAGATAGACTTACTTTGTGGTGTTGCATTATAGGTACTTGTATTGATTGTAGTCAAAAGCGCTTCTCCATAATAAAATGCTGCATGTGCACTAAATGGTGTACAAAAGGCCATTGGCACCAGAAATAGAGCTTCTCCAATTGGCTCTTTGTGAAAATATCCGGCAGTAGTAGTTAGTTGGATGTCAGTTGGAAGTAAGTCGTTTTGTAAGAATGTAAATATAAGCAATAATTCTCTTCCAGCTACAAATTCTTGGTGAAGAATTATTTCATATGTTCCTATGATAACGGAAAGCGGGATGCATGGGACACAAATAAAGTTTTTATGCATTAGTAACCAATTTAGTTAGCATTTGGTAAAGAAACTGTATCAGTATTTATTGGTTGAAGAAAATCCCACATATATATATATATATATATATATATATATATATATATTCATAAATTAACGCAGTCAGCATAATCGATATAAATGTCATTTGCAACAGAATAGACTTCTTGCAATACATTGTCAATCATATAAGTACTAATAAAATGTTAGACACTGAACCAAATGTTTATAAATGTTGAATTATAACGTATAATAAAAAGTAGACTAAGTGGATAGCAATACTGCTAATTCAAATACTATGCCACAAATTTTGGTTACTAATTATTGATTATAATTTATAGATAGATCTATGTATTTTGGCGTTCAATATTCAGTAGTAAGGAAATCCCATCAACAACTCAATTCTCCTCTTCAGTCTAACCTAGAATATATCTCATATAAACATCTGAAGTTTATAAGTTCTTTGGATAACAAATAAAAGTGAATCAAGATTAACAAATAGTATTATTTTCAGCATCTACTCCCCTTGAAATGTTTAGACAAAACAAAAAGTATTATATTTGACGAAGGAAATTATTTCTCGTTGTTTCATAAATATCCATGTGCCACAAGTAACCTAGAATTAAAAAGATATGTAATCAAATCCTTCAACTATGAAATAGTAAATGAAAGCATTGAAGGCAATATAAAATAGTGGAATAAATAGTACTGAGAAACCATGTAAAGATAATTAGACTACCAGCTTTCGTTTATGTATGAACAGTAGTTTGATTGGAAAACTCAAAAAAATATTGCCAATAGACTACACTTCAGTTTTGATGATTGAATTTAGTTTAGCTTATCTAGGGTAAGTGAAAAACTATTGCATCTCAACCAGACACTGTATATGTAACGAATTTTAGTAAGAATAATTTTTTTCCTCATTATTAAATCATTTTTTCGATTATATGGAGCATAGGTTCCCATTTTGTCTAATCGTTAGGGCATTTGTCATGTTTTCTTGGAATTTGGTTTATGCCGGTTGTTTGAATTTTTTTGACTTGAAACAGTTTACCCACCAACTTGTTACAGTAACATTCACATAACAGTCAGCTGATTATTATTCTTCCTTAGTAGACACTATAAATGTGGTAGAGATCTAGTCTAGTTATCCCAGTCAGAAATCCAAATGCTAACCGGTATTAGCTTAAGAATGTAATATTTTTATTTTCACTTGTAGTACGGCAGTAGATAGGTGAATCAGTCAGGCTTTAAATAAAGGCATATAAATAAACGTCTTTTTAACTCTAGTAAACGTTATTATACCGGGATGTGAATAGGTAAGAATTTGAGTCATTATTACTGAGATAGTTACATTAACCTTCTTTATATCTAATTTTCATTGATTAGAATAAATTCAATATTAGACCTTAGAGGACGATCCAAAATTGCCGAGTTTTAAATAAAATTCGGTTAATTCCTTATTATATGTGTTTGTTTTATGTGTAGCTCATTGATATACTGTAAGCTGCATCAAGTAAACGAATAGAATCCGGAATTACACTCAACTACAGTGATCAAGTTCTATACTTACAATAATAAAGCTAATGTTTTCTCAAGTGAAATATTAGCTACAAATAACTATCACACACTGTATTAATGATAAAGGCAAGACAAAGTAATCAGTGATGGTGAAAGAAATTGAAAAATTCCTTCTGGGAAGTAAAACTAAAAAAGCAACCAACACTTTTAAGTCTTATCATTCATTCAAACAGTAAAAATTTTTTAACAAACTGCGTACTAGTAAACCTTCTGTGAACAATCCAAGATGAACTGAAGCAGCAGCAGTCTAAAGTCGTCAATTGATTGACCTAACTTTCCATACTGAAAAAACTTAATAGATTATTCAGCCTGTTAAGGCTAAGAAATGCAGTTTAAAAGGTTATTTGCCGCTTTGTGTAAGTTCTTCGTTTGAGTTTATTATAATGCTACCAGCCACTAAAATGTAGGTAAAGTTCTCCATCCCTAGCTCATATACGTAACACGATAAGAATGAAATAAATGTTAACTTTGAAACTGACATATCACACAATCAAAGCTGAATCTTTTTTATATAAATCAAGGGGTTCAAACCGAGTCAACATAAATCAAGAGAAAAACACAACTTCCTAGACGTTTCACTAAAGACAGAAACTAGGGAAGATGAAATGAAGGATCTTTATTAGCGGCCAGCTTATTTCGTGGAAACATTGACAAGATTGTGCAATTTACTTACATGTATAAGCTTCAGACCAATGGTTCATTACGAAAATAGTTTACGTGATGCAACTGTCACAGAAAATATTTCCAGCAATTTTAGACATCTCTCCTAATACCATTATAGCATTGCTATTGGCAACCTAAACGTTACTATAAATCATCAACTTCAATCGACTGCTATGTGTCTAATGTGGAACTATAAGCGAACATATGTACTTAAAAATAAAGTATTAAGGGACTATGTTAGTGTGTACCATATCATCAGATTCACATTACCTGCAGCATCTCTCTCACAAACTGTAAAACCAGGTGGTAAAACGAGGTATGATTTGACCTCGAAGCCCCAAGATCATTAAACTAGTCAAAACGTTATGGAATAAAAAGATGTACATAATGGGAATAAGCAAACTGTCAGTTCAGCTTCATCACAACATCATAATTACACACTAACAAGAGTGACTAACAAAAATTGATGGGTGGCATTTCAATCAACATGAACTTGAAAAACAGAGCACGAGTGTTATTTCGAGAAACTAATATACAAATAACATGATCATCGAACTGGATTTCTCTTAGCCAGTTGAGTAGAACATGTGGACTGAAGCGGAACACTACGCTTTTCTCAACTGTCAAACAACTGATGCAAAATATGACTTTGTAGCACCACACAAGAATGTGCATGAGAGAAGGGAGCAGGAGTTTCTCCCACTGATTTAGGTTGCATACAATCAGTTCTGCATCCACATGTGTTTCAAATGCATTCAGTGTTTTCTTGAAAGTCAGCTTCTCACATTATTTAAACTCTTCACTGTTGGTGTAGTCAATAGATGATAAGAATGTGCTTGCAACACAGTCCCATTGAAAAGGCATAAGTCAGAAACAGGAGATAGTTGGACAACGTATAGACAGGAGTATTCGTGTCTACATTGAATTTGTTTTGCACGAATACAACATATATCATAGTTAGTTGGATGCCCACAACTGTAACACAGACTAGAATCCTGGTAGGATTCAGACTGTAACATTCATTTCGTTCACCTTCCTTCCAACATACCAACTAACTAAATTGGTGAAACACACTTAAAGTAGCGTTCAGGCCAACTACTTGCACAGAATGATGTGAAAGTGGGACTTCACTCTTACCAACGGTTCCAGAGGCATGCAACAATTTCATCGGAAATATTCTTCCTACACTGAGAACAGCCACTGTCGAACTCATGTCAAATGCTAAGAACATTTTCAAGTAATCATGCAGAGTGAAGTCAATAGACATTGTAAACACGTTTGGAAGCCTGTGAATAGCATGAAGGTAGACAGTCTTCAACCTCAACTTGAAACAAGTCAGATATGTTAAGCAGTCATAATATCTTTACAACTTACCAGGAACGATCTGGAAGATGAGAAGAACAGGTAACAGGGAGCAATACAAGTGCTTGTACATTTCAAATCGATCCTGAAACTCAAGAATCACGTATACAAACTGGTTTTCACTGAGTATACTTATATCATTGAGTCTCAAAAATGATTGACTTTGAAACGAAGAGTGTCACCATGTTGAGGTGTGGAATTTGTTGTCTTCGTTGTTATCATTATTGTTGTCGTACGATTTACACAAGAGCGGCGCTGTTTGATACCTCGTGTCATTCTCAACAATGAAGTGTGCATTGGTGTGTAGTTGTGCACAAATATTCATTTTCTAGTATCTTAATTAACTAGCATACTTCTGATGAACTTGGTCATGTCGGATCAGTGATGCCTGTTGATGAGTTAGATGTGTGTATGAACGACACAAAATTATAGAGTTTTTCTAATGTGAGGAATTCACGAAGATCAGTCAGTGAATGGCCATGTTAAACAGATCACATTCTAGTAAACATAATGATCGGAAGCAGTGTTTGAACGGATTTTGTGGGTGTAAGTAATGTTAGTCGTACAATCAATAGATGGTTTCAGTTAGCGAACAGTGGTAGTATTTGAGAGTGTGGCTAAACTTCGAATTTGAATTTCGAAACTGACCAACATTTTGGGCATTACTCCATAACTTCTGCTTGAACACCAGACAAAATATGTACCGTCATATGGGTCTAAGGAATATAGAAAGTATTTACTAGTAGGGGATATAAGTAAAATCCAAAACAGAAGTGATTATTGCAGCCAGAAACTGCTGTACTGCTTCTTAACTCAATTAATTTTGTGGGTGAACATGCGTATTTCACGTTCAAAAGCACTTATCCAACCCCTTCACTTACTTTCTGGGAAAGTTTTGGCCTGGTTGCGCCAAAGAATTCTGTCAGTAGCTTAGGCTTTGACATTGTTGCTGACCTTTATAATTATTTCGGGTTTAGCTAACCTAAGGCGTACGTTCAAGTATCCACGTCATTTGGCTCTTTGGAGTGTTACTTTGTGCTGCTCTTACATGATCCACTAGCCAGTTGGTCAAAGTGCATCGGCTTATTGGGATCTGCATATGATATTCCCATTTGGCCATGTTACTTTGTTGTTTCTTGATCGATCTGTCGGGGTATTCTGTAAGTACGAAGAATTAGTGACTGGTCTTCGAGTTTTTAATTTCGCATAAGCTTAATTCACAAACCGGTGACCTTACTCCTTTTCTTATATGTACATTTTCGTTTTCATACTTATAATGTTTATTGATTCCTATCATTCACTTCTGTAGTCTTGTGCGATATTAAACCGAAAATGCACTCAATCCGGCTCATACGATTTTGATTGGACAGCAAAGAAACATGGTTTCTATGTCCTGAAGTTGATTTTCAAGCAAATGGCAT